CTAGGCAATTAATGGGGTAACGGGGCGGGTGGGGGTGTGGCTCATTTCGCCTGGCGGGTGGTCCTAAAGTCTCGCGGCGGGGGTTTTCGGCGGCGTATAAACGCCCCCCCCCCCCCCCCTTTTTTTTACCTTGATGAAGCGCTAGACGAAGGTTCCAAAAACAACGAGAAAAAAGTTCTAGGTGGGAGCGTTGGTGTAATGAATTGAATCATGTGTGCGCAGCTAGAGATTTGTGCTTGCTTGCTTGTGTGATACCCCTTTTAGCTAACGGCGGATATGATGATTATATGACACGGCCATTTTTGTTTACTCTTTGCGGTTTTGGAGTGAGATGGGATCTACAGAGGGTGTCTGTCTTTATGAGCCGGCCGATCTATAGGTATACTTAGGTAGATATAAATATTAAATATTGTCATGTCCTTGAGCTGTATCATCTACGTGTATTCATCTTTTTTGAAGAGTGATTCTTCGTGAATTGAATTAATTGGATTGGTCTAGTATTGTATCTTTAATTAGAAGAATAGTGCCTACTTCAGGATGTAGCGTAAGTACTGAGCTAGCTATATTGCTAACCTGTCAAAATCTCCTATAATCATTGCAAATATTAAGACTCATGTCTAGCCAATAACCGCTCGTTTTCATCCTAAATGAGGGAGTCGAACGATAGGTCGATTAGGGTTAATCTAAGTCAGAGAGATCTTATTCAGCCTGAATCTAGAATTGTGTCCCGATTAACATCATCAGCCTCTTTCTCGGATCATCAGAACTAGAGATCACATTGGAAGTTGACAAGTTTGGGAAGCTATATTATCCACCCCTGGCTAATTCCAGGCTTGTAATATATGCAGAAATCACATTATTGCTACCCAACTTTGGATTCAGGCGGCCGATATCTCCGAGTGATCAAAGATTGGGGAGATGGAGATGTTGGTCTGCTGCACCGGGGAATATCGGAACTGCAATGCTTACTCTTCTCTCCATGAAGTAATCACTATTTTCTCCACAACCGTTGGTAACATATTTGATTGAGAGCTAACGGAGGAAGGCAACTTATATTACAAAAAAGGGGAGTCGATAAAACCCAAACTTTGGGTACTTATAACCACCTCTTAAATCCAAGCAAAGATACATTTCTAATGAACCCTATAGAGTGAAGGAGCTATTAAGCTAACCCCGCCACTGCAAAAGATGACTTTGCGCGCGTTGCGCTGCGACTCCCTTGTTTTACCGTGCTTAGGAAAAGAGAAACCATGATGCTACTGACGACGCCGGGGACATCTCTCTAGACCACATCCCATCTTGCTAAACTATTTAATAGGCCGGCCTTCTTGACCCTTATCCCTCGAACATGATTGACTGATGCCTACTACGCTTGAGCTTTAGAGTCGGTATCCAGGAAGGACAAAAGCTTACTGGGATGAAATAGCAACTAAGCTATTCGGTTCGAGTTGTTTCTGGCACAAAGCAAGCACTGTCAGGCTCAACAAGGAATTTATTAAGGCGGTATGTTCTCAAACTCATTTCGTCAACAGGGTGAGCGGTTGGTGGGTTTCTCGAGTAGTAGTGACTTTGCTTGTGTGTGATTATACTGAATAGGTCAGGGGAATGTTAGTCTCCATTCTTGGGAACATGGTTATAGCACTTGACCCTGTGGGTAGAAGACGACATACCCGTCGTAAATTGCTTCATTAGAACTCATAGCCATAGTGCCGTGTCAACAACAATTTGAATGATTTCTACTGATAGAGTATGGTTCCTGAGAAAAAATGTAACTGATGGTAATGGCTGAGCCAGAAGAAGAACGCAAATCATAAATTATCTTTTGGAAAATACGAGGGATATATATGCTACCCCCAGGAGAAGCACGCAAGAGTTGAGAGGTGCCATTAAGCTGCAGGATCTGTGCCCTACCCCCGTATGGTCACGATCCCTTCAACCCCTTCAACTTCCGCGAGCTAATGCATTAATTTGAATATAGTATTAATCTATACACTAAGCACGATAAAAATATATGCATATAATAAAGGGCGTAGTATACGAAGACGACAGGGGGCAGGAGGGTAAAATTCTTACCTTGCAGAAAGTGTCGATAAAGGGGAGTTGGGCAGTGATGCGAAGTCGAGCGGGCTTGTGGGATACCTCCCCTCCTTCACGATCGATGCCATAGCGGTGGCATCGGGCGGAATGTGTGCTAGTCGTCTTTAATGTGCATATGCCCATAAAGTAACTCTGTTAGTACCATCCCAAATCATCAAAACTCTGGTCATACACTTGGTATTGTTACTCATGAAATATCTACAAAGGAAAGGGCTGAGAAAAAGGGTATTCATAATGAAGCCAAAGGTATACGATAGTGTGAAGATGGGTACTATGTAGAACGTTGAGATACTAGAAGTTATAATTGGTACCTAACGTTCGAATCGGGGAGCAAACACTTGCCTGCAGCTGTATAACGAGACGAGGCTTCCATTTTCATACCAGAACTCGTTGATATCTCAAGAATGTCACTTGGTCCCTTGCCCGAATCCAATCTCGCCATCGGAACGGGATTCGAGAAGAAGCTTCTTCAGGTTCCCGGAATATCATGATATGACCCCAACAATTAGCAGCAGAGGACGTTACTCTGCACCGATCACCCAGGGCGTTCCATTTCATGCACTGGATGAATGATATCTTGGTTGGAGAGGCTTATGCCATTATGCTATTTTCGATTGGATGTGGGAGAATAGCGGCAGGCTGTTGATGCTGAAGCATGGCGGCCCCCATTAGATGTAAGAAATCCAAGAACGCTGTCGATCGCCCGGAGCTTTTTCTCAGCACGGCTCTAAACTCTCCGATACTTTTCATAACGTCCAGAATTGGAGAAAGCTAGAATCTAACATATGATTAGTTAAGTAGGTGTTGGAATTTTGGGTCGATAGTGAAGGGGGAAGTATCCATTCTTCCTGAATTGTTGTAGTACGCCCGGGTAGTGAGAGTACAAGCCGTCGACGTCTTGCTATTGGATATGCGCATCATATTAACAATGCATGTCAGCGTGAAGTAATGAGGGGTTGCATCATCTGACGTGTCCGAGATATGTGACAGGTTAGGTATGTTCGATTTGATAGCCTTACTCTCAAGCAACTTTTTTAGTACTTATTGTAGATCTATTGAACTGAATCGTGATAGACGGTAGGTATGTCGGATCAATAGTTTAAGCTAAATCTGCCCTGGAGTCGCACGAAGCAAACTATTCTGAAAGTATTTCTGCTATCTCGGTTGTGGTAGGTTGTATTAGGTTGATCTCTAGCTTAAATTGGTTATCAGTAGAAGTCTATGTATTGGTAGAAGCTGATGGGCTCACATATGTATTATTTCTTTTGGTAACTCCCATACTGGGGGGTCCAATTAGGACGTGTCGAGGACTCTAGAATGGCCATGGATGGATATTGAAAGGGGGAAATTAGCGGGAGACTTCAGGAGATGAACAGGCCTTATTAGCAGAGAAAGACTGGTGAGAATGTAGGTAAATCTCAAGAAAAAATACGAGAAACGATGAAATAGTATTAGAGATATTTGATACTTTTATAGAACGTCGTTCAAAGCTGTCTAAAGCACGGAGTAGAGGACAATGACATACATGGCTGGAAAGACAGCTGGCTACTATTAGATTGTGTAAAAAGGAATTGGTTGCATTGCATGAGGGGTATGCATAAGAGGGTTGAATATGCCATCACTGTTGGCTTCTACTTCTTTAGTTCGACACCGTGCCCATAAGCTGTCATCTATTTTCTTACTGTTATTTATGATACTGTTTACAAACGGTATCCCGCTCGAAATACTAAGCTGGCCGAACCTAGGTAGTAATAATGAAGTTAATGAGGAAAGGGTTTAATCCTACCTAAAGTAACAATATTAGTAGAGGGCTGTGTTACTTAGTACTAGGTAAGTACTAAATTACCTTACCTATAGGTACCTGTCTTCCTAAACTGAACAAACGCAGCTGGCTGTTCGTTAATGAAGTACCAAAGGTTACCTGAGATAGGCAGGTTAAAGCAACCAGCCGTTGGTTACACAAATTGTCGTGTCGCTGACTGTTTGGTCTTCTCGCGCTGTTCCTAGTAGCAATATTGCCACAGGCCATATCTTAAATACTTAGCTCTCCTCCTTCCATCATTCCCCTCTTCTTTCTTTTTACTTTCGGTCCCATCCCAACACGGAGTATCGCAATGAAGATATTTGACGTTGCGGCGATAATTCCAAGTATTTCCTACTCCGTTACTAGGCTAAAGAGGTTTGCCTATTCTGTCTGGAAGCGATTTATCAAGATGGATCCTATTGAATTCCCCCGAGTGTCTCAACGGGTAATGGAGTTCCTTGGTTCGATCGGGAAGTCATTTGCGGTGTATATCGCACTACCACGTAAGTCTTCCTAGGCTAAGAATAAGTGCAGATTACTGCAATGGTGACATACTGAAGAATGGACTTTAGATGTCTACTGGGCAATCATCACCTGGGCGGTTGTATTTACAGCCGTTGTTACGCTTGGGCTGTGCTTGGGTTTCGGTCCAGCAGGTGTCATTCCAGGTGAGATGCAGTCGCCTTCATTTTCTCTTTTAACCCCAAATCCACAGCACAAGTCTTACTAAGTTGCACCAAGGCTCAATTGCCGCTGCCTTCCAGTCGGCTATGTACGGCGGATTCACGCCGGCTGGGGGGATCTTCGCATCGCTGACGAGTCTTGCGATGCTGGGTCTCCTCGCACCCGCAGTTACAGCAGTTGCGGCAATTACCGCCTTGATTCCAGCGGTAATCGTCTTCAACTTAGTTCCAGACTCATAGATATATTCGGTTAATTTCTAAGTATTTCTTTCCGTGGCAATCGGTTTATTAGACTGGTAGGCTGGTAGGCTGGTAGGCTTAAGGAACAGGTGGGGGATAGTTGATTGGAGTATAATTTTGGCATTAAGAGATGTTATGAAAATTATGAGTGTGTACAGCCATGTTTGTGAGATATGTACGTGAGCTGCTAACTAGTATTGTTGAAAATGTCGGCTTTGATGACTGATTGGATTAATTCCATGTTACCCCTGAGTCTCAGCCCCTTAATTACCCCAGCCTACAGAGGTTACAGTAATCGGAAAGCGCTGATAATGCTATACTCTGGCTATTTTTGAACTACTGGCGAGTAAATGTAAAGGTTTTCTTTAAATTTCACTTCTGAGTGGTTATAAGTACACTCGAATTGTGAAGCACATGGGCGCGGCACTTTCGCAAGGTGGCTTGGGGATCATCAAAGATGCGAGGCTGCGGCACATGATAGCACCACATGAGAAGCAACATCTCAGCTCTCTTGTGAGGCAAGGCTAGGCGTTTTCGCAAACGTCCTTTTTCTTTCAAAATATCGATATCGTAAAATCTTCGCCTTTTTTACTTTTTTTACTTTCGAGGATTCCAGTTGCTCAGCGAGTATATTGAAATAGATTTACCCTGGTGAAGATGGCTAACTTAACAAACTATCATTCATGCCAATACTGCCAGAAATTTTTGATAGATCTCAATAATAAGCAGCCTCCCGGCGACATTACCACAGACTATGGGAAAGCAACAGAAGGGATATTTTTCTTCGATGCGACCTTACAGAATGTGCTTGAAGGTGCTTCCCATCATTGTCACTTATGCAAATGGCTGGATGGCGCATGGGAGAAACGTTACGGTGATCGATACAAGATGCTTGCGAAAGTCCCTACTGACCGTATAACTATTTGTGCCGATAGCTATAGTATGTCCCTAACTGACCGCTACCCATTCGACGAGTTGTCTTTCATAGGTTTATGGGAGCACGATAACCCTGGATTGGGCAAATGCCGAATCAGAAGCCCATACAGCCTAGATGTTTTTACAACGGAAGGTCGGTAACACCCAAGATGTAGTATCTTGTGCCCCCCCTTTAATTCTCTAAACTGACCAACAGCTGCTAGATGATGCAGCAAGCCAGTTCATTTTGACTCGCCCTATCAATTGTCGGCCAGGTGCCGTGGAAAATCTTGCATTGGCACGAAGCTGGCTAGAAGGATGTCTAGATTCACATCCTAAATGCCGCACAGAGCAAAACTCCATGCTTTCACGAATTCTTCGTATAGATAAGGTCGAGGGTCTAGATGAATTTGAAATTAGCCTCGAACCGACTTATGATAAGGTAGAACCATATGTAACACTTAGCTATTGCTGGGGAGGTGACCAGGCTTGCAAGACTACAAAATCACGGATGAGGTCGGGTAACTTAAGCATTCCATACGGTAAACTCGCTCAATCCATACAAGATGCTATTAAAGTAACTTCAAGACTGGGTTTACAATACCTCTGGGTCGATGCTCTATGCATCATCCAAGACGACGAGGGAGACAAGATTGAACAGATCGCCAATATGCCTTGGATCTACAATCAAGCATGTATCACAATTGTTGCAGCACGGTCGGATCGCGCAAGCAGGGGATTTCTGGACGATATTGACTTGGCTCAAAGTACGAAGCTTGCTGTAAGGCTTCCATTCTGTTGCCCAGACCAGCACGGCACTTTGGGCTCGGCATATATCACTTATATCGACGATAGCCGAGGATCTGAGCCCATCCATTCCCGTGCGTGGACGCTACAGGAGCGATATCTATCTAATAGATATATAGAATTTGGCAGAAACCAAATGCGTTGGGTATGCGCGTGCTCTGGAAGATTGAAGAGACGTGGGCCGCTCGGTCTCATTCTCCGCGCGATGCCTTGCGATACGACTCGTTTGTTTATGCGATTTACACATTTAGGTCTATTCCACATCAATACAAGATCCAAAAGTCGAGTAAAAGAGGACACGAGTAACACGGGGAAGATAGGCGCTTATTCAACTATAGATTGTGTCGACTTATTTGAAAAGGTTACTCCGGAGGTTATTGAAATTGAATAGGAGTAATAAGAAGTAAAACAAATAAGAATCGAGATGACCTACATCACAAGATTGCTACAGAGCGTAAGCCCTGATATAATAATCTTTGTCATTTTAGATATCTTATGAGTTATATATATAAAACTTATTTGTAGTTGTCCCTGTACGTAAAATCCTGTTTGGAACCTGATAGCCGTGGATTTATAACTTGAGCGCTGTGTATACAATTCAAGCAGCGCCGCGCAATTCTATGAATCGTTCCAACCTGTTATCGTAGCGAATGGTCTGTTAACATGTAGCTCTTCGCTAAGCTCAGCCTGTAGAGTCGCGAGTTTTCCTTTGGAAGCGGAGCTTCTGTTTGAGATTCATGGTGTTGTGTAGGCGAATTGGCACTGTTTCGCAAACTTATCCTCCTATGATCCTGTACTTCAACTGTTCTTGTCTTGCTTCTCGTACTCTACTGGCAAATCCATGCCGACCCGACGCGCGGTCAGCCTGACGCGCTCTTCCTCATCCATACCCATGCCTGGATTATATCGCTCCAGCAGAGTCGTATATTGCCTTTGTGCCTTAAGATACCGTACTAACTGGTCGGCCTGGGCGACGACGTGCTCGTGAGGCGGATCATTTGAGAAGCTTTGTCTTAATCGTTGATGTAAAGGCGAACGGACTTGCGAAGAGGAAGACGGGAGTGGTTTGGGAGGGAGTTCTCGAAGGAGTGATCGGTAGAGGGAGCGCAACTGTGACGGCTTCGACATGGCGGTTAGGAGAATGCTGGTAGCGTAAGAGGATGGGCGGCGCGTATTCTAAGTAGACACGGGCTGGCGGAGGTACGTGTACCTAGAGTAATTGTTTGATGTTGATGCGGGATGTTAGCAGCTATGTACATGTAGCTACCAAAGTTTAGCAGGGGGACATCGGGGACCTTTTTTATTGCGTCGTTTGCTGCGATAAGATCGATAAGATAATGCAGGTACGGTACGTACAGCGGGATCCACAGAAGTTGGCCTTCATGTAATCCGTACCAAAGTACCACTCTAAATTATTTTCAATCTAAAGTTTCTTATCGCCGCTAGTTACATACAATTTTTTCTTCTTTTTTTTTCTTTCTTTTTCGTGTGTATTGCGATCAATTGCGATCCTTCATGTAGTGGTCTAAACGGATACCACCCATGCTATATTCCGTCATGTAGCTTACCTATAGCGCGCTTATACACACGATAATCCTACATTTAGCAAGTCTGCAAAATGTCCTTGTCGAACCGACTTAATGCCTTTCTAGCGATGCCGCCCTCCCTGCGACTCGCTGTGATCGGGGCCCCCTCACGAATACGACCAAGTCGGATCAGCCTTGCTTTGAAGGTTTATAGATCTACTGCCGCTTGGAATTACGATGAAGCTGCTGCCTTCTATATACCTGAGTCTCGACAAGGTCGCGTCGACAATGTCTCGCTCGAAACACTTTGCAAAACATCCCACATGCGATCAACTCCTGATGAGCCTCTCCTCTCTGGACTAAGTACCCTCTTCACTAGGAATCCCGCAACATTCCAATATGGAGAAACAGATTTCTACAAGCTCAAGAAAAACACTCTCATCCCCGAAGTCTGTGTCCTCGGTCGATCTAACGTTGGCAAGTCATCTTTCGTTAATGCTCTTGCTGGCCGAAGTCAACGAAGTCAAAACTCGCTGGCACGTATTAGCAAGCACGCTGGAAAAACTAGAGAGATGAATACGTATGGATTTGGACCAGCACCGCTGCCGAAAGATATTGCCGCGTGGACTGCTGAACTTAAAGGGAAAGAGGATATCCCAACTCACACCTTTTACCTTGTGGATATGCCCGGATACGGACACGCCTCTTTGGAGGACTGGGGACGTAATATCACGCTATACCTGACCAAGAGGATAGGCGTAAAAGGAGCCATCATCTTAATCGATGCCGAAGTTGGGCCCAAGGAGCTGGACTTACAGTGTTTACAACTATTGAGCTCTGTCAATATGAGAACTTCCATCGTTCTCACTAAGGCGGATAAGGTTAAAGGTGGCCTACCCGCCTTGGGTGATTTATGTGCCAAGTTACGGGACAATATCCTCAAGATTGAAAATTCACAAGAGAATTATAATTGGAATTTGGACAGAGACGTGTTTGTCACTGCCCTTGGTGCGAGAGACGCTGCTGTCATACATTCAACAGCATCGCACGCGAGATTTGCTGTGGCTCGTTTAGCTGGGTTGATAGAAACCAACCGACCGGACTCAGAAAAGAACGAGAAGTGGTCTGGCAAAGTTATCTCGTTTGAAGACTTGCAGTATGCGCCAAAGGATTCCTTGCCCAAGAAGGTAGACAACTCTGCATTTGCTAAACTAGAATGGGCTGCGGGAAAGGCGCACGGGACTCGTTATGGAATCACACTAGATGCGTTGAGCTCTTTTCATTCGAGGATTATCACCCAACCCCAGGCTCGAAACTTCCACAGCGACAGCAATAGGATGAAACCCCCACGCGAACAGCGTGATAGAGAACAGGATTCACAGGAGATGGTTGATATCTTAGACGAGTTCATGAAAAAGATTAGGGCTACTAACACAACTAGCAGCCATGTTCGAAACATGCGGCGGAAGAATGATAGGCGTCTACCCCCTGCACCTGAAAAACGCAACATCCTCGGCAGACAGGAGGAAAAACTGCAGAAGGCCCTGAAGAAGCGCTTCCCCGAAGATGCAGCTAGGTCGGAAAAAATACGCGAGCAGAGGTCGACAATTACGGGGGCACAGAGAGAAAAGGAACAAAAAGCCAAGGAAGAAGAATGGCCCACTGACTTTCCTTCGCCGCGGGGCAAAGGTGGGAAAAAGAAGAATGAAATTATGACTCCAGACGCATTTAAGGCTCTAGTGACGCAACCGGCATCGGAAGACGTCTCGCCATCATCTTCAGGACAAACTAATAAGAAGAAACAAACAGGCCAGAAAAGCTCTGGCAAGAAACAATCAAAGCGAAACGTGAAAGAGGTGGAGATGGACGAGTTTGATGCCAGATTTGCCAAAGCACTTTCAGGAAAATATTAGGTGGGGATGATGTTGGTATTATTCTGGTATAAAGGATCAACCACTGTGGCTTCGGACTCGGGTATAGCGACATATGGGCAACCTACCTTGGATGGGTACCTGTCATGGGTCTAACACGATGGCTGTACATGATGTACTCTACTATGATCACACGCATATAGGTAGCATAAGGACATATTGAACACAACTCTTGATTCTATTTCAACTATAATTTACTTGATACTAGTGTGGTTTAATTACGTAGCGGCAGCTACTAAGTTTGATGCTCGCGGGGCTTTAGGCGGCTTTTTAGCCCGCCTCTTGCCCCTCTCCAGATCTGCCGCTGAGACATCTGCCCGTCGAAAATAGTAGTTGGGCACGAAGACGTCGACTAGGTTATCCCAAAAGCCGAGGTCGTACAAGTTTTCAACATCGCGCAAGCGCCAGACGCGCTCCCACTCGCCGACGCCCGTGGGTATGTTCGGATCCGGCGGCGTGCCGTCCTCTGTGCGCACGATTACCTGGACTGCGTCGACGGGCCATCGCGTCCAGGCTGCCTCGTGACGCAGGTTTTTAGCACGGTCAAGTGGCAGGGAGCGCTTGAATGCACAACCATCATCCATCTCCATTTGCCAGTCCTGCCATTTCATGCTCTCGTTAGTAGTCGTACCGCAGTAAATCAGGTAGACGTGGTATCCAAGCAGGCCCCAGACCAGAGGTGTCGTCATCAGCGTAAGTAGCGTGATAGACCCTACGCCCACGTCGTCCTGGATGCCCACGGTGAGAACCATCAAATACTCATGCCAGGACCAACTCGCTGGTTTCGGGAACATCACGAACGACTTGTTGCGCGTGCGCGCTGCGTCGGCGACTGCACCGAGGCCGAGAATACCACCATACAAAGTTAGAACGGCGGTCGAAAGAAGTAGGAGGATAAAATAATGCTGATTACCGTAGCCGACGCAGTTGTTAATGAAGACACAGTGGTGGTCCATCTTGTGAACGCAGCGCTTGCAGACGGAGCAGTGCTTAGAGCGCGCGGGCTTTAGTAGCCCACATGTTCGGCACGTTTGACCTGGCCGGAAAAGCGCAAAGTCGTACGGGTAGTGGGACATGTAACGGGAGTGATTAGCGGGGGTAACGATACCCGGGTCGCCAGCCGCGGAAAGGTACAAGAATAGATACGGTAAGATAATAGATATGCTTCCTAGAGTCTTATGAAGGAGGCTCAAGCGCGGCCATACTCCTGGTAGGAACATAAACTCGCCCACGGACAGTAGCAATATGAAGAAAATGAGCACTGTTGGGTGCCGGTCGTACATGACACAAGTGCCAAATCTACCCAGCGCCGTGGTGAGGCGGCCTGAGGTGAGGCGCTGGTCAAGGCTTAGGATAGCATTTGGTATATACACCCATATTGCGCGGTGCAGCCAGGCTATCGGGGTATGTCTATATGATCGTAATTAGTAATGAAATAGTTACCATAGTTACTAGTTTAAGTGACATGTTTAATAGTTGGCCCGTGTGTTGCGCTCATACCTCAAAGCCGGTAGCCTGCCGAAAAACGCGACAAAGACCATAAAACAGATGGCGAGAACGGCCAGGGAGATCCTGGTAAGGGGGCCCATTGTCACGGACCGGAAGAGAGGATGATAGTAGGTAGTAGATGCGTTAATCAAACATTAGAAAGGGATATTTCGAGCTGGTTCATGGCCAAGTCATCAGGTGCAGGGACAGGCGCCGGTACCGACTCATTTCATAAAGCTGATATGTAAAATGCTGATGATAAAAAGGTCACAAGAATTATTTGCGACTAGTTGGCTCTGTTTTGCTTATGATGAAATGAATATGATAGAATAAAATGTGTTTATACTTGTTTAATTTCGGTCAGCGACGTACGCGCTCGTCAGCTGGTATGTGTATGACTTCTAATAAAAGAGATGACTGAGGGTCCGTCGCGGCTATCAGCCCGTGCTGCAGGTACATGGGGTAGGTATATCAAACTTGAAATTTCATTGGTCGGTAAGTTGGGGCGGTGCTTAAGTCATTCAGCCGCTTCTGTCAGGATAAACTGAGGCTATTATTCGTTAAGTCGATAAAACCCTCGGAACAAGCATAAAACCTAAAACCCACATGATTATCCCAAATTCGAATTTAAAGTACCTGGGCAGCTGGGAAGTCGCGATCCGCATCACGCGTCTTATGAAACTCTATTCACGGGACTTTTTATACAATTACAAACTAAAGCCTGACCTTTTTTATACCACAATAAAAGGCCTACTCTGTCCAGATACACGCCTCTTCATCTCTTATTGCTATATTTTAGATCCCATGTTGTCAGAAAACGTGCCCAACGTTACCTAATGAACATTATACACGCGTTCGCTATGAAAGCTAAACCCCTGGAAATTATCGAGATAACAGGATTACGAACTTACAATATTTCAACTTATTTTTAAGCTCTTAGGGTGAATTTCATTTTAATCGACGCTTATACTACACTCCGCAAGACTACATTTATCTTAGCAATTCGCCGAAGTTAACGAGGTTAAGTGAGAGTGAGAGTTAGCCGGATGTCAACCCCTATCGTCTACGAAGGGGCCATAGCCCGTAAGAACCCTTCTCAGAATGGCCTGTTTAGCGACATGCGTTTTTGGGTAGCACATCGTGTGCCACAGCGGCTCCATTTTGTTCAAATGATTCAGGTAGGAAGATACAACTCGTTGATCCGCCATTCTTTACACTAACACCATTTAGAACAACGGGGGCCAGATAGTTTCTCTCGAGAAGAATGCCGATTATCTGATCGCCGACCACGCCAAGAAGAATGCTTGTCCACCTGAATCATATTCTTATAAGTGGATCGAGGAGTCTTGTAGAGCTGGCGTTCTGAAGGAACCCGAAAATTACTTGTGTGTTCCTACTAAACAGAGTGTGCCTACTAAACAGGGTGAGCCTCGACCTTCTGGCTCGGCCGCTCCTCTGAAGAGTACACGGACCAAGTTTACCGCCGAGGATGACCTGATCCTCAGGAGATGGGTTGCCAGTAACGAGAGAAAAGGCGAGTCAGTAGCAGGAAATGTAATTTATAAAGAGCTCGCAGATAAGGTAGGCGTTTATCATATTCATCATTCTCCATATGTTAACAGTAAGCTGAACAACTTAGTACCCGCACCATACTTATCAGTCGTGGCGAGACCGGTGGATCAAAAAATTGCAACATCTCCCTCAGCCGAAAGAGTCTGATAGAACGCCGTCTCCTCCGCCAACTAGGCGAACGGCTGGCACTTCGGCCCATGCATCTCCCAAGACTCCTGGATCTCTTGGGAGGCGCGTGCCTACTCGGAATGCTGCCGCTACCCGGGGGCGGGCTAAATTTACCAAAGAGGACGATGAGCTGCTCATGCAACACGTCATGGAATGCGCACGTCAGGGCAAGCCAATTGCAGGGGTAAAGATTTTCCGTGATCTCGCTAACGACGTAGGTTTCATGCCGCCTTCACGTCGTTTCTTGCTAACCTGGTCTAGTTCTCGCATCATACAGAGCAATCATGGAGGGCTCGTTGGGTTAAGGTACTTGAACCGAGATTTACGACGCGACCTGCCGAAGAGGAACCCGGAGAGGAACCCGAAGAGGAACTCGAAGAGGAACTCGAAGAAGAGCCCGAAGAGACGGCAAAAGCAGTACTAGATACGCGAGTGGAAGCCGAACAGCCCCACAACACAATAACGCCGCTAAAGAGCCCTCGAATACGAAGTTCGGCGCATGCAGTGCATACTGCAAATGAAGTGCCGACAGTTGTTACTAGTCCAGCCGAGGATAATGTAGTTGATAATAAAGGTAAAGGACACCAGATTCTTCATACTGAAGTTCGGACAATACCCCAAGCACCTATACAGGAACCAGAGGAACCAGAGGAACCAGAGGAACCAGAGGAACCAGAGGAACCAGAAGAACCAGCAGTCGACCTTGATCAATCATTTCCTGGTGATACCTCTATGAAGGAGCAATTCCTTCGCGATTACCAGGAATACGTGGAAGCCGAAGGACTCCAATTAGTACCCTGGTTCACGATAAAAGGGCGTACGTTCGAACTTTGGGATTTATGGGAAGCTGTCGCCTCTCAGAAGATGGACCCTAGTGAACGCGACTGGCAACAAATTGCGGAAAAGCTTGGGTTCGACTGGGTTCGGCATGAAACCGTTCACGATGAGATCAGAAAGTGTTATGAGAAATATCTTGCCGCTTTTGAAGAAATTTGGGAGAGTTTCGAAGACGAAGAAGAGTCAAATGCTGAAGAACCTCTACCATCATCACCACCAATTATGCCCTCATTAAAACGATCATTTGACGCACATCGATCGCCGTCCGATCATACATACCCACAGCCGTCACCTAAGCGGCGAAGAATCAATCGGGACACGGAGATTCCGTCTACTCCCGATCATATGAATCAAACTTCTGGTGTGGGCTCCCAAGCTGATAACGGCATAACCCTTAGCGCTAGACGGTCGACCCAGCGTGCTGTAGACAAGAGAACTGGAGAGAACGAATCTCGAGATGCAGTCCCTGAGCTTCCAGTCTTTGAAACCCAGGTAAATTTTGAGATGGAGTCACAATGCAATATTACCCCATCGCAACAGCTTTATCAAGAGTCAGATGCAATATCTCCGAATCTTGCAGATGCATCACCTACGCCCAAGGCTGGAACTCGGATCACCAATCCAGGAACCCCTACACCGAAAAGATCAATCCGGATCCCTTTCCGAGAAGACTCCGATGACGAGATGACAGGACAAACAACCACCAGACATAGCAATGATAATTTTGTAAAGGTCACTAGTGCAGGGAAAACTAAGCGCCGTTCCCTACCGAAATCTTATGCTCAAAAATCACCGCCTATTAGCGGTGCTTCCACTTCGGTAGTAGCTCCCAGAGAAGATATTCAACACTCACGCCTAGAGCGGTCTCAGCTATCACGTCGCTTAAGTCCGCCTAAAGAAACGCCGGAAGATATCATCGATCGTTTTTGCTCTCTAGGCTATCCGAGAGGGATAGTGCTCCAATCGCTACGGGCCACGACGTGGCGTCTCGGTGATGCTGGTCAGGTCATGGAAATACTGAAGCGAGGTGAAGAGCTGCCACAGAGGACCCACGGAGTCTGGACACAGCGCGATGATGATGCATTAAAGTTGGTGACATCGGACGAGCCTCCAAAGGATGACAAGGAGAAGAGGAAGCGTGTAAAGGCTCGAGAACGGCTTGAGAAGAAGCATGGTTCAGAGTTGATGGAGCTTCGGCGCAAGTATTTGTGGGAAGTTGTGTAATACCCGGGCTATACTTGTACTTAGCTGTGAGGTATTGTGCCTGTGCGTTAGGCATTGTTAGAGTCATTACATGCTTACATGGTACGTACATGTACGTAGGTTATGTAGTCCGGAGATAGGTATAAATGTACCTGAACTCTATGTTAGATTATAACCTCTATAAGTTTAAAGATGTTTTTTAATATTGAAGGGAAAAAGTCAAACTTTGGATACACTTGAACCCCAAAAGTAACCGAGCAAGGCTGAAGAAGCCATGGGTATAGGTAATTTCGGTCACTTACAATTTATAGAGCTATGGCCCCTCGAACAGGTATGTAAGCTTTTGCATTCGCTATACCCTCGCTGTACTCGTGCAACTATTCAACTTTAAACATCGGGTCGCCTACCTCGACTATATATACCCGCGTCTTGGACTATGTTTTTTCTTCCCTTCTTTCTTCCCCAGCATGTATCACTTGTTATATCTAAATATCTGGTCCTTCATTTCGTATTACTTCAATACTTGCTATTCTTCCTTCATAAATATATTGATTTCTAGACATAGATTATCTATAATATATACCTAGGCATCTACACATCTATTATGGCCGAAGCTCCTTGCCGACTGCTCGACCTTCCGTCGGAGTTGGTCCATAAAATATGCGCGCACTTCTTACCGGATATCCTACCACCTTACAGGACCTTTCGGGACTATGATGCCGCGCGCAGATCCGTTACGGATCTGGTTAACTTGACTCTGGTTTGCAAATCATTTAACAACGTTGCAGCGCCGCTCCTTGCCAGATACAACAGACATCCATTGGAGGCGGGGATTATTCCCTACATTTACACCATTCTTCAAAATCCGGATATAGCATCGCACGAGAGAACATTTAGGCTACGTCCCTCGGATCATAATGGTCTGCTTGAACGTCGCCATGTTCAGGCCTTTGACGCAAGGGCACTGTCGCTGGGGGTTGTACTGCCAACCTTCTATAGTACTGACCTCGTTCAGCAACCAGGTACTGATGCGAGGCACAACTCTATAATCCACGAGGGCCGTGCGAATCTGATGTATCTCTTGCTCGCGAGTCTCCCAAACCTATCATCTTATTCTATATATAGTACTTGCCAGCCCCTATTTCCCGTCAACGGGCTGGTAGTTATGTTTAATACCGTTGAACAGATCAGGGTAGTGGGATACTCGGACATCCCTTCAAGCCTTGATATGGGCATCTTTAGGCGTTACACCCGCTACTCGAGGAACGTCGAAGTATTCGAGTCCGTGAATATGGCGATGTGTAACCGAACCATCTACCTGTATCAAGTTCACACCATTCGCCTGTTGTCCTGTCGGATTTCGGGCGACAGCTTAGTAAATGTACTCAGACACTGCTCGTCGAACCTGAAAACCTTTGTGTTCCGCTCGGGGTATTACAGCATATACCTGCAGCAAGGTGCACAGCCTGGAGATGATCAGAGGAAGCGGAGATCGGATGCCTCCCCGTGGGATATCGCAGCTATCCTAATGCTGAGCCCGGCAAGAGAATCGTTAGAAACGCTCGAGATAGACATGCGCGAGCATTTCTGTGTCAAGGCCGGAGATATACACGCACGCCCACCCAACCCGGAGACAGATCTCCTATATAACTTCATCAAGGGGTTAAAGTGCTTTTCTGCTCTTCGAAACCTCACTCTCACGCAGCAGACCCTCTGGGAGCTATGGTTCAACGCATGTCCAGGGTTCGACAAAGAAGGCAGCTTTTGCGACGATATGCGGTTAATCGACCTGCTGCCCTCCTCCATCGAGTCCTTCGCGCTCTACGACGTCACACCCAATTTCTTACGGTGCATCTCTACATTCGCAGAGCACGTAGGCAGTAGGATGGGTTTTCGGAACTTGAAAAAGTTCACCATGCGACCATCACCAAATTTCGTTAGACAACTCACGCACGCGAGAATCCACCAGGACGACCCCGAACTGCGGTTCTTCGACGAATATAATAGATTTTGCCGTGTGGATGAGACGCTATTGCCTCGCTGGGGACGGATCATGTTGATGCTCAAGAACAGGGGAGTGCGGGTTGACTGCGTCCCTGAGGTGCACCCGCTTGACACTGAGGACCAGCAGGCCCTGCAGCGGCAGCGCGAGTTACAGCACTGGTGCGAGAAATGCCATTTCGATTTTTCCGTCTGTGTTAAACGGGAGAAGTGGCTTGGTGTCTACGCGGATTGATTGAGCTTCTTGAAGGATGCGATCCCCCGCCCGTATGTAGCGAGGCGGCTGGAGGGAGTTAGGCGTATAATATGGATGGGTTATTGACTGGGCGAGTTTTGTGTTTTTCAGAAGGCGTTTGATTTTCTATATACCCAAGCGCATAAAGGTACTATGCCTATTTGTATTTCAAGGAATGGTCTAGGTAAACGTGTACCATGGCTCGCAGGGTGCTTGAGAGAAGTCGCTCGAATGTATTGCGGGACGGGGCATATAGGGCTATAAGAAAGATTTGCCATGTATGATGAATACATGAACTTGCATCACATGGAGATGATCAAGTAATTATTACATTTCAACTATTGATGGTTTGACAGTGAGGAATGTTGCGAGTCTTATTTCTCGGGTATTCGACGTTAATATTGTTTCCCGGCGCCCTTAGTAGTAGATAAGATGCCGGTGGAAGAGGTGAGTGACATGGAGAAGTTACAGCTAGTTCTCGTCACCAAACTAGAGTTACCAGGCGGAGTTATGGGTTTTAAGCCCGTCGTGTTTGCTTTACTTTAATTTGTCTTACATCTCATAGGGAAGAGGACCAAATATATTCAAGCGGAATCCTCTAGAATATTAGGATAAAAGATACCATCTCTTGGTTTGCATACGAAACTAGGTACCTAGAACTCTTTGAGTCCCATAATACGGTGTGATACTGGCTTTCAGAGCGGCTACAGGTTAGAATCTTCTGGTTCTGGCGTTGGGCACTATTAGAATAACATATCCTTTAGACGAATCCTGGTTATAACTCCTCACCCCAAGACAAAATATATTTGCCAGTACGACTTGGAACTCTACCCTCCTTAGCAACCAACTAGGAACTGAACTCCTTCAAGCAAGGTACATAGACAGACGATATGCACAATGCCCTCGTCATATCTATTCCCTATCAAGCCAATACCGTTCCTGTACTTAGGCGACGATGATCGGAATATCCCAGATCTAAGCGACGACGAGTTCGACGACCTAGTAGCTGTACTCAAGGCTCTGGCTCGGGGTAGCTACCCGCGTCTGGAGTCAGTGCCTCTCGCACTAAACGCCTACAACTGCAACCAGAGGACAGACGATGATGGCGAGCGACCATGGGCGTACTTCTACCCGATCACTATCATCCCGCCCGCCCGGCTTGATGAAAAGAACGATCTGCTACCAAATTACCCCGAAATCCGGCTAGATTTCGAGGTACGACAGGACTTGAAGCGGCGGTGGCGGCCCATACGCTACGGAGACGACGATGGCAATGACAGTCAACCAGTGGAATTTCCTCTTCCCGCGCGGTACCGTTTTATATGCTTTATACACAAGCACAGGATCGATCGCAAGAATATTTTGCAGAAGGGCGTGCACACGATTAGTATCTGGGATCGCGAGGTAAGACGGACTCCTCTACCCCTGAATGACCTTGCCTGTCTGATATCCGCACAACGGTCTACATATCGCTAACTAACGGAAACTTGTGCACAGTGGGACGAACTGACCTGGCACGACACGTATCACGTAGACAGGATATCGCGCAGAAAGGATATCCGAGAATTCTGGAAACACGTCAAGGCACCGGGGTTCATCGATGAGGCGAACTCGCGAGAATATTTCATGAGCCGGATTCGCTACCGGACTGTATACCATATCTGCGAGCACATCGAAGAGACCCTGCGGCGTCCTGGTAGGTGCCTCCACCCCCCTTTTCTTTTCACGTCCATAGCACCTAATTCCTTTCGGCCTAAAGACATTGCTAACATTGCCATCTCTCTTCTTCCGACAGTACCTCCGCGACACACGATCTACGCCGTGATGAGCACAGCCCTCTTCCACATGAACAACGCGCGCGACCCGCAGGTCTCCATCGTGCCGGACCGGCTGGAGCTGTTCGGGGGACAGCACAAGGGCCTGCTGCCGCGGTTCTTTGCGCACCTGCTATGTCTGTGTCTAGATGTGCGGCCGGGCTGGTCTCGCGCGCGCCAGAGGCGCTTTGTGCTGCAGTTTCGTATTCTGGAGCGTCTGCAGTGGATGAGACTGCGTACGCGGGAGTATTTGGAACTTCATGATAGTGATAGAGATGGCGATTACAGGGTTAATGCTAAGAGAAATGACAGCGGTGGGCGGGAGTGGATGTACGAGGTTTTGAACATACTGTAGGTTCTTACCTGAGGTATGGCAAGTGAGCCGTTACGTGGGATTAGTCGCTAGCTGAGGGCTGTGATGGTTAGCATACGTGATTCATCTACGTTTAACAATCTATCAACAAGAGCTAGCATTTGCAAGGGGCTTGTTAACCTACCAGAATAGTACTTGTTAAAAGAGAACTTGTCACATCTTAATTCGATAGTAGCAACGTTTGCCCCGACGAGAATCATAATCAAAAGTGACTTAAGATCGTAGGCTTGGCGAAGCATTTTATGACAGTATGGTGAAAGACCTAGGCTCTAGACGGCCTAAATCCTAAAGCTTGAGTCCAATTTATCGTTACGAAATCGTGATATTTATCCATCCGCTCCAACATCGTTCGCTATATCCTATGCCTATGCGGTAAGCCACCCATTGGCTTTACCTAGCTGCTCCGGCTACTTCCACTGCTCGAACTGCTGCGACTATGGCTCTTGTTCTTCTTATCCTTTTTATGTTTCTTGTCCTTCTTGTACATCTTGCTGCCACCATAGGCGCCAGCAAGTGCAGCGGCGGGAGCGAATGCCGAGGCCATACCCATGCCCCCCTGTCCTCCGCCACGGCCTCCTCCGTACCCACCCCCGTGACCTCCATAGCTGCCTCCGCGAGAAGAAGAACCGCTAAGGTAATGCGCAGCGGCTGCTGCACCTATGGCTGCTAGTGGGGTGCCGCCGCCTTTTTTACCTCCGAGTACGCCTCCTACCAATGACCCTAGTCCCCTATCGCCAGTGTTGGGATCGTGCGGATAGTCACCACCTTGTTGCCCGGGCGGATACTGTTGGTGCTGTTGTTGCTGTTGGTACTGTTGCTGCTGTTGTTGTTGTTGGTACGGCGGTTGTTGGTGTTGTTGGTGTTGTTGCTGGGGAGGGTATTGACCCGCGGACGGGGGATATTGATTCGGGTAGCCTTGCGGTGGGTAGCCTTGGCCCTGCGCCGAGCCGGAATGATTGTCGTAAGGGGGCGGGCCGCCGGGGTAAGAGGAAGGGCTCCCTTGTGGTGGGGGTGCACCGTAGGGTTGTTGTTGCGGAGGATAAGGCGAGTACTGACCCGGAGGCGGTGATCCGTAGGAGTTCGGCGTATGTGACGGCGGCTGCCCACCGTACTGCTGCCCACCGTATTGATTGTTGTCGTGGCTCCAGCCTTGAGGCTGGTACTGGTTTGGAGGAGGACTCTGACCTGGATACTGTTGGTGTTGAGGGTTATAGTTTTGAGGCGGGTATTGGTTCTGGGATGGTGGATAACCACCACCACCACCACCACCGTAGTAATCTTGGCTGGACATGTTCGGTACGAAAAAGACCCCAATATCTGGAATATCACGACGACGTGGCTCTGCTATTTGGTTTTTTCCGTGGATAGAGCAATGTGATAGAAATTATTATCAGCGAAAGATCTGAACGAAATTTATATGGGTATTTGAGAGGCCTCTTGCTGACGAGAAGGAATGAAAGGATGATGGAGGGGTAAAAAGAAGGGGCAATACGGTCAGGGACTTTGGAACAAGGGACAGGGACACGATGATCCCTGTCATTGGCGACATGCCACCGTCTGCACCATGAATCGTACGTACCCCTGAGCCGCCCCGCGCGCCAAATTGCGAGCTACATATTACAAAAGTCAATATGAAGTTGTTCTAGTTATCCGGAAGTTGAAACTCTATAACATCTAGGTCTAACGCTCACCTCCTTTGACACTACCTTTCATCTGATCGTGGCACCATGTATCACTGTTCTTCAGCCTTGTGGGTCTCATTAGTGCTGTATCACGAAGTGCCCAGGCCCCAGGGAGACATAATGTGGGGTTAGTTTATGTACTTTGAGGTTAATAATAAATGTTCGTCGAGGTTCTCCAAGTCCAAATATCCATGTTCAACTCTTTTTTGTATCAATATTCGACTTAAATATATGAGGTAGTTTAGCGACATTCTCACGCGTACCATGTGTTAATAATATCTGACTAACCAATTTATTAAGGTAAAAAATGCCAAGATAATTCTGTTTACTCTTTTTGCTACATGTATATCTCAAATATGAAGGGCATCTTAAATACCTTAGGTACCAGGTATCTACCGGTAGTGCGCCGGTGATGGCTGTATTGAAGCCCAACATGAGAACATAATGAATGTGGCTGGGCTGGGCTCTTAATAGACGAGGAAGTCAAACTTATAACCCCGAGAGTCTCCCCCCTTATTTTAACAGAAGCATAATGACATTTTGCCAGATTTCTCCATCATACCTAAACTCCAAACGCGAAAAGACATCCAGGCAACTTGTAGATACTCATTACCCTCTTTTACTATTTCTCCCCGCGATTAAAGACCTCTTGCCGTCGCCAGCCGAGGAATTCCCATACCGCAAGAATAGTAACGCCAAGCTGAACGATGAACATCGGAATCAAGTTATACTGCCACCCCCTCATAACGCGTACGTGACTTTCTATATCGTCTCTCGCGTCGGCCAGGTCTAGCTGAAGAACAGCCGAGAACCAATTCTGTGGCGTCCAGAACTCCAATGGGTACTTGCTACCATCCAAAGTGCTAGCTAAGGGGACGTAAATGCTTTGCCCCTCGTGCGCGTTTGTAACTGCGAACACATAGGCGAGAGCCCCGGTGGTGAGGAGGAATGCCGGAATATTTAGCGATACCCAGAGGTAATATATAAATCGTGCGAAGCTTCCCAGTCCGCCATATTTATTCTGAGACCAAGACCGAAGCAATAATACGAGTATGCCGCCCAACCCGATGAGAACGAAGGCAGTTCCAGCGGCGCCGTTACTAGTATGTCCTTGGTCCGTCATTATATGGACTGGTTCGCCGACTAGATGATATGTTGAGCCGCCATAGTTGAATAAGAATCCCTTGCTAGCTGTCCGATGCAGCCATGCGACCATGCTACTGACGAATGCTAATTCGATGATCGAATCAACCATAAGCAGGCCTACGGCAACTTTGAGAGCAAGCGACAATCTCGACATCCTGTTTTTAGGATTTCCTCTAATGGTGTTCTAGCTGTTGAGGGTGATGGAGGGTAACTTGGGATCGAGAAGACGAAAACCCGGGAGAGAGGAAACTAACATACTCACTTGATGGGGCGAGCCTTATTGACTTTATGACTGCTCATCTTCTAGGGACTTAAGTTCTCTATTTGTTAGGGCTGACAATGTCGGGGTGGCCGGTGATGTGCAATTGTTGCACTGCTTAGGCCCTAGCTTTGCTATTTATGTCGGCTGAGATTTTGTTGGCCAGTTATTGGGGGCGATGTGTGTATAAGACGACGGTGACATTGGTCTCACCCAACACGATGGATTTAGTAGTGGCTTTGTCGCACGCTAGCCTTACCGCCAAGACACGACCGTCAGAATATAGCTTCTAGATCTACGGTTTGCGATGTGTCGTGAGGCTCTCTATTCTACCTCGACATATATATCTTTCAAGGTAAGTGGATGTAAATTAGGAGTAGTAGGTCTTATCTACGTAGACTTCGAAGTTCGATAGAGAGTTAGAAGCATATGCTAGCGGTCCTCAAAGGTTGTCGACTGTTGTCAGACCGTGCACGACGCATTTGTCACGCTTAGGACAGGACGATTGACGAGTGAGAGGAGACTACCTAATTTATGCATGTGACATGGATGCAGTAGTAACGCCGATAGGCTATCATATTATGAATTACATCTTAAGTTCTGAATTATTGCACCAACATGAAGTAGGCTACAGTGTCTTTCCATTCGAGAGCTTATACATGGCGTACAAGTCACTCACCTATCCTTGATGAGGATTTGCTTCTCCTTCTGCAGGCTTTCTGCTACTTCGAGCGGAATGTTTAAAGATGTGGCTACGATACCCGCTGGCGTCAAAGCGAGCCACTGGGTCAGGGAGATATCCTCGACTCGATCACTCTTGTATATCTCGATCCATACCAATTCCTCGGTTTCTGAAGTATTCTCTATGTAATGACCTTGGATTGTTAGTTTATACAAGTCTTCGAAAGTTGAGATTGAAGCTTACCGCTATTGTCCGGGAACACGCCAGTATCTCCGGCTCTGAAGTCAAAGGTCCGAGCAGCAGCGCTACCTATAAACACGGTTGCGCGTCCTTGACCTTTATGGAAGTAAAGCCATTCTTCGGCCTAAGAATTCTGTTAGATATGAAACTGGGAGATAATACGCAGGGCTTACGTTTGGATGCCAGTGCAGCTCTCGCAGACCACCAGGCTTAAGAGTGACAATACTGGCGGCTATCGTTGTCGCAATGGGGAATGTTTTCGAGTCAACAATACGAAGGGAACCGCCTTCTCCGGGGACCTTTTCTAGAGGATGGTCTTTCGAGTAATAAGCGAATGAGGCATTGCCAGTGAGCTCACCATTGCCACCAGTCACATTATGGTGGTCAATAGTTCCGTTGGAGATATACGGGTTTGGAGACGGCACTGAACCGAAGACAGACTCAGGAAGTCCGAAGTTCTTGGCAAGAATCGACTTAGGAGTATGTGTGATCCAATCATCCACATTGAAAGTTGTCCTTGGATTAGTTAGCGTGGGTTAGCTGGTGATGAGGTTGAGGATGATAGCTTACCCCACAGCATCGAAATTACCGTCGTCAAATATTAAGAGGAATTCATTTTCATCCTCAAGACCTTGGACGGTGTGAGCTACACCCTTAGGGAAGTACCAAACATCCCCTTCGTCGAGCTTAGCAACTTCGAATTGACCGTCCTGATTTACTCCTGAAACTAAGATCGACCCAGCGTAGACATATCCCCACTCGGCCTAAGGTCATATTGTTAGTGAAGAAATATTATATTTGGTTAATGCAGTACTTACCACTCGATGCCAGTGCAGCTCCCGGATCGAGCCCTTGGTCAAATGCTGCTGAGCAGATGAGATCTGCTTACTGCTGGGCAGATCTGTGACAACCTGTTCTCGAACCCAGCCACCCCTCAAGATCCTCGTCTTTGAGTCTGAAAAGCTCCACTTGAGGTTTGGCACGACACCATTATCGGTGCTTTGCTGACCAAGATTATCTGGGTTCTGGAGGTCAAGAGCATGGTTGGTCCCACCTAAGAAGCGTATGGTCAATATGATGGTTCAGAATACCGGCGAATATCTATAGTGAAAAGTACCTGAGAATGGTGCACCCTTTCCATTACCGTCAATTGGCTGGCCGTCTTCGAAGCCACCCTTACTTTGACGCTCTATAACAGAGCCGGTGGCACCCCATGCTGCGAGAAATGTGAAGGAGGTTTGGAGAACCCTCATATTGGCTACAAGCGTATGGTAGTGGAAATAAGAGTGCTGCAAGGCGGGTGTAGTCTAGGAGATCATGCATCGAGGACAAGCTACTACTGGCTTATATACACCTTTTAATCTACGGATTTTCATCCGGCAGGGCACGCCATTGCAATAGCCAATTTTGGGCACCCCCCCTTATTCACGCCCAGCCAGGGGTATCGACTCTACGATCCACGAGAAAACCTACCCTAAATACCTACATCAAAGCGCCAAGCGAGGTTGAACCCGGAGATGTTAATGAACTCGATGAGATTCCCGCATGATGTTGCCTATTGCTCATATGCGGGGGCCTATAATCAGCCGCGCTCCTAAATGCACCATCCATATCAAAATAACGTCATGTCTTGGCACGCCATCAATGGGGAATAAATGCTGCATAGTTTGATGAGCGATACTCCAAGGTTACAGTAGAAGGAACGAAATCTTGAACTATCTGTGCCCATCATGATCTTGTAATTGTTAGTGACTGCTTGCGCCATCTTGCGGCTTCGTTGCGGCACGCAAAGATAGTGGTCGTTGTCAATAGTTAGATTCACAACTGGACAACGAGGCATGTTACTTAGCGTTTATTTCCCAAAAGGGCAAGTGAGCGACGTTCGTGATAGGATAGTTGTTACGCCTGCATTTAGAGATACTAACTAACTACCTAGCTTACCTATTTCTTTCTTGCTTCTGGCTTCCATGAATAATATCACTGTATAAAGCTAGAAGATGAGAGTCGCGTATGACTACTGCAAGCTGTAAGGCATCGGTGGGTAAATTCATGACTGTATAACCTATTTCCTAGGTTTATACTTCTTGGAGAAAAGGCTTTAAGCGATGATTTGCAGTTTTAGAACAACATTCACTACCTATTAGGTGATTCTAAAAGTAAATAGGAGAAATATTATTTTGACCGTCTATACCTAGTATAACTTAGGTTACTTCTTAAAGTCGGCGACGTTTAGATGATGAGGTCACCGCCCCCACGATCAAAAGCTTATAGTTAGATGTGATTCTATCCTTACTAGCCTACCCAGAGGGAACCCATGTCCCGGTAACCGTCATCCAGACTATTGGAATCGATAGCTTGCCACTGCACAAACTAAGCTTTACCGGAGCATCGTAACGTTGGCTTATGCAGCCTGTAGCCTGAACCGGTATATATCTATGCAGATTGTCCTCTTTTGGTAGACTATTATCTTACCCAGGTCCTAGGAACTGTAGAAGGGGATAATGCAAAACGTCGATCAGGTCTGTATGCAGCTACTTGAGCTTCAACCTTTTCCATTCCGTGACTAGACTTGACCTCATACGAAGTAGCTGAATATTTCAGTGGTAGCTTATAACTAGTAGAATTTGACTTTGGTAGTCGATGGCGAGATAATGCTACGATCGAGAGCTTCGTGGTGCTATTCAAATGAATTATGGCAACATCTGAGGGGAATTGGGATCGTCAACATTTCGTGGGATAGCATCAAATGCAAGAGCTGTGAGACGGCTTGTGATTGTCAATGAACTGTGATGCTAAGGTCTATAGAAATGTCTAAGACAGATTTTACTATATAATGGGGGTTAGCTAACACCTCGCTACAACATTGAACTCCGATCTTATTGTCTCTCCCCTATAAGCCAATATTTATGAGATATCCTACCTTCAAGGTTGGACATCACTCCCAATAATGTCTTCCTCTGTAGCCTTACTGCTTGCTGCTTTTATAGCTGCCCCGTCAGTTTCGGCACTGTCTTTACCTCCACTCATCCCTACAATTCCTGGTGTCACCGAACCCCTGACGAGCAACGCTCCGCCTCTACCTATTTTGCAAATTCCAACGCCACCATTAGAGAGTCCCCCTTTTGAGGCTAGCAACATCAAGCCTAAGAAGATAGGTTACTTCTGGACTGCTTCTGGCGATAATCAACATAAGGGTAAGTATTTTACAATTGCATAAAGCTGTGAGCTTAGCTAATAATCTGTAGACTTTCTGGCTACTTATAGTCTCGACGACGTGAGTGGGTATAAGTTTATGAGTCGTTTTGGTAGCTAACTATTAATAGGACACATTTGGAACCCTTCTTTGGGTCACTGATGTCCCCTCAAGTGGAAATAGCCCACATCATCTCGGTCCTTCTCTCGATGGAAAGACTCTGATCGGTGGCGGGCTGTTATCCCTACTAAAGACGCAAGACACTGCTTTCTATTTCGACACTACGGACCCCTACCGTCCAACTTTCAAGAAGAGCAATCGTGGAATACTTTCATCCATCGTTGATGAGATCCGTGCGAAACCTGATGGGTAAGTCTGTTATTATATAGAAAGTATTGAATATGGGCTTACCAACTCTGACGGCAGAGGGTTTTTCATCACCTATATGGGCTGTAAGTTAATACGTTGATCCCGCAAAGTATTTAACCCCTTCTAACCTCTATTCAGCTGCTCTTGGTACATCGCCGGGAAGGCTAGTTGAAACTGATGCTGAGTTCAACATCATTCATGAGTGGCCTGAGAGCGTGGACGGTCTGCTTAACGTCCTCGGGGAACAGTTTTCCCCACATGGTTTAGCAGTTGATTTTGAGAAGAATGTCATCCTTACTTCTGACTTCATTGTCCCCCTGAGCATCTTAAAACCGAGTTTGGGAATTCAGCGAGCTAATACCCTACGACTCTGGGATCTCCCTTCACGCGAGATTATTAGCACCATTGAGATCCCCGATGTATGTGATATCAACTTTGAGTTTCCTGACTATTAGTAGATCTATTTCTAATGATCAACATAGGGTGGCGGTATTCAAGATGTCAAGTTCATTCCCGGAAATCCTGAAGGAGCTGCTCTTGCAACTGCAGTGCACTTAGGCCAGGTGTGGATTATCTACCCCTTCCGTAAGGATAGTAACGGTAAGCAAGGTGTAGCGAAGCTGCTATATGATCTAGGACCTAAGGCTCGAGATACCGTTGCCATCTAGTAAGTGATCCCTCGTTAGATCCATATACGGCTCCTAGTTTAGGTACCTAAACTAACCACTCATCTTGGTAGTTCTGATATCACTGCGGATGGAAATTTCGCTTATTTCACATTGACAACAGCAGATCATATCGCTGCTCTTGACATTTCAGACTTAGACAACGTAAAGCGATTGGATGACCCAGATGAGGAGCAACCTACAATTGGCCCCCACTACATCAAGATCACGCCAGACCAGCGACACATCGTAGTAACGGACTACTTTGTACAGACGGGAGATATCGGCCTAATTAACACTCCAGCGGACTTTAAGGCTCTTTATATCGACATCCTCGACGACGGGTCCTTGAGCTTTAACCGCAGCATAGAGTTCCAACGCGAGTTTGCAAACCGTGGCGGTGCTAAGCCGCACTCGGCTGTTGTCTTTGACTTTACTGATCCGGAGAATCCCGTTTACTACTAATTTGAATCGACCAACCGAGTTACCTGGAAGATTCGAGGCATCGAATCACTACTCAGGTCGGAATGAAGTTGGAAAGATGGGTGGGCTGTTCGGGGTTCTATAGCTCCTATTGGATGAACATTTCTAAACGATGGCTCTTGTACCACGCTTCACTTGACACGTCAACTGGGTGTGATACGCGATATATGATATTTTGACATTGGCATCACATGATATATTATGTATCTTAAAACATGGGTGTAATTATTGGCGGTGGGGAGACAATCACCTTGATGAATTCCTAAGGTACTTTATTTACTGTTCGATATAACAGTAACTTGAATGTTATATTTATCTGCCTTTCTTGTGAATGTTCAATTTATAGAAACTTATTATTTGAAAAGCCTTGATGACTGATCTTTACACTCCGTAAATGTTGGTAAAATGCCTAACGCTGCAATTAACAAGGGTGAATTTGATAAAAATGGCCGAAAGCCAACAAGTATCCAGCTAAACTGTAACTTCTTAAAGCCTGCATTGTTTATTGAACCAACATGTTTCACCATTTCATAGTTAAACCTTGACATAGGAGGCCCCCCATGCCGTCGGTGATAGCACTTTCTGTATGAGAATAGGCTTACGGCATGTCATGGAAGTGACGGCTACCGGCATAGGTAGTTCCCCGCATCATATGGTTTATTAATTGGGCCTCAGAAACAAATCGTATGCATTAATGTGACCGTTTGAAAGAATGGAAGGAAGGCACGCTATGCTGTGCGACCGCATATATTTCTGAGGCCTGTGAGGCAGCCATAGGAGGTACATATGAACCTTAGGCAGGCTGAGCAGGCAGCGTGTTTTTATTATCGTCAAAATAGCGGGGTTATATTATATTCCTCCTTCTCATAATAATATTCCATTCATTCAATCTACCTTAAGGCTTCTACCTAATTGTTTCAATTACCAATACCATATCGAACAATGTCGTCTAAAGTTATCGCAAAGATTTCTCCTTCAGATCTCCAGGGTCTTGATGCTCCTCCTACTGCATCTATCACTGATGTCAAATACCTGTCTTCATACAATTGGATTGAATCACCTAAACCCACCATAGCTGTCCCTGGTAGCCCAGCACTCTGGTCTGCGCCAAAGGTTCCTCAGAGGCTAAAAAAGGACACTGGCCTTATCTATATTGCCCAAAATGCGGCTCGTCACCCCGACAGTCCACTCGAACCCCTATTCCGTGCTCTCTATATAACGGACCCATCCTTTGACATCCAATCCGTCGACGTCGTGACTGATCGAAATAATATACGCAAACTTCTGACATTTATTGATCCTACTGCTTCGAGAAACGGACTCGAGGAGTTCACTATCAACATCGAGGTTAACAAGAATACTGCGATATTCAGCCGCGATGAAACCGCCACCCATGAGTTCATCGGCCCTAATGAGTTTAGGGGTTTCGGGCACGAATTTGAAAAGGCCTGTACAACTAACAAGATCGTTGGTAGTACTGGACACCATAGAATCATCTCGTACCGCTTTGGAGGACTGAGCATCATCGTCCGCCATGAGACAGACGGATATGTGGATACCAAGACGGGCCCGTCGTCGTCTTCTACCAGTAAAGAGCAGTCGCCTGTTGATTTGACAAGCGTATTCGAATCACTCTCTTTGTCGCCGACGAACAGCAATGCGGGGAATGCTACCAAAGGATCGAAGCTAGTTGTCCAACAAGATGGCCAAGCAGTGCCTCTCAACTCGACGCTTGAAATCAAAACTCGCGTGTCCCACAAGCCCCTCGAGATTCGAGAGGTCGCACCACAACTCTGGGTGTCACAGACCCCTAGGCTAGTACGAGCTTATCATCAGCGTGGAGTGTTCCAGGTCCCGACGGTGGAAGATGTCACTGCTCAAATCAAGAGATGGGAACAGGATAACCAAAGACATTTGAGAAAATTGGCTGCATTGATCCGTAAAATTGTCAATATCGTGAAGGATTGCAACGAGAGTGTGACGCTTAGGTATGACGCGAGGGAACGCAAGTTGATTCTGTCGAAACTCTCGACCCCGAAGAAGATGCTCCCTCAGGACTTGTATTCGAAGTGGGATGTGAGTAGTGATACCAAGACGGGGACTGGTATAGACGCTACTAAAGTGAAAGCCTAGATTGCAGCGGTTACACTCTTCCAGAAGGTCTTAGTTAGCATTTCAAGATCAGCGAGTTAGTTAGAGTATAGCCTGCTATATATGGACGTGATTGCGTTAATCTCTTCCTGATCCTATGTCCTGGTCCATTACGGAATAGCATTGTATAAAGATTAAAACATGTATTAATCTATATGAAAGAACCGTATTTCTAGATACGGTCCCTTGCCCAGGGATGTTGGCGATCATATCCATCGCATAGAGCTAGGTCGCGCTCAAAATCGCCATATTCCTCGTGCGTCTCGAAATGTGTAGTCCGTATTATCTTTCCGCGCTCAGGGGGTTGTATTACTACATGGTCCTTGAGGTGTTCTATAGAATCGGAACGCATATTGCCCTGAGAGCCTATCGTCGTTAGAACTACGCCGCGGCTAAAATTGTTTATCCTGCGATAGTATGCGTGTGATGAATTCGCTTGTGGGTTATTTGTCATATCTGAGCCAGGCCATGACGGTATACCGGCTCTGGAGCCCGAGCGTCGAGTCAGTCGATCTCCAAGCGATCGTGGTGATGAAGTAAACCGGTCAAGAAAATGAATCTCCGACAGGATCTTGGCCGCACTTGGAGTACCAAAAATAAGGAACATGCAAGTCATCTCGGCCAGAGCCCAGAGCATGACAGGCGCCGTGTGGTAAATTATATCATCTGACCTAGAATAGTTGAGTATCACACGAAGGCGTAACCCTGCTGAAGCACAGCAGCTATAATATTGCGAAATATTAGCGTTTTGTCGGCCACCAAATTCAGACGTGCTAGAAAAAAGGATAGTTGAAAAGGTAAGCCTAGCTTAACATTAAGAAATATAAAGTAAAAATACAAATGAAAATATAGAAGTGTAGAAGATATAACTATTCGCACATACAAAACACCTATAGCAAAGATAACAGAGACGCCGACTCTTCTTTTTGTTGACATGTCTAGGCGCCAGATGACGTGCTGCGGCAGAAGCAGAATTGAAATATCCGAGCAAAGATTCAGCACAGCTGATGTGATGTTGAGGGCCTTCCTGTTGACCGGACAGGAGCCACCGACGAATAGGGGGTTCCAATTTTTCTCAATGGGAACGCAGGCGAAGTTCATGAGGAAGAGAGTTACGATGTAGAATATGACATTCGCGCCCAGCACGCCATAACAGAGCCAGAAGAAGTTATTCCGCACGCCGTACGGAATGAGTATACGGATCCAATCCAGAAGTATCGCCGCTTTTATTGTTAGGACAGCTCCGATGTAGAAACTACCACTGAGGAAGAGGGGAAAGAGGATATCCGACATGTCCTTTAGTAGGACATCCCATTGATGAACGAAGGCGCCAGGGTTCTCTACTAGCTGGTAATTTAGGTATGCGCCTACGATATAGCAGCCAAGAGATATTAACATTAATACTAGAACTGAATGTTAGAATAAGTAATAAAATCTAGTTGGTGAGGAACTTACCATCAGGAAACCCAATTTTCTTGACATAGAACAGCCTATGACATATCCGGAGAAGGACGGCTATAGTTGTGAGAGCCAAGCATGTTGGTATTACGGCTTGGGCAATGTAGTTCTTATTTGGCGGATCGTCAAAGTTTGATGTGATATTATTCGGCGGATTGAGGGCGGGCACGTCAAGGGACGTATCCAGCTCGGCCGAGGTTATCAATGAGAGGACCGCCATTAAATTCTTATTTTCCCGCCGGACAACCCCTCCCACATCGCTCGAGTCGTCCTAAGGCCAGAGCGAAGTGAAAACGGGAGATTGCTGTCGGAGCAGCAAATAATGGTTATAAAGAAGGAAGTCCTCCCAAGCCGACACATGGCCGCGAACGAGTGGGTAAGAACTCTATCTATACATTAGTTAGGTTCAATCAATTCATCTACTCGGCGCGGCAGCCCCTCAGACAGAATGCGTGGCCGACGGGCTGACATGCATGCGAATCAACGTGGTAAGTGGGTAAGAAGTTTGTCGAACCGGAACTGCTCGACTCAGCACTATAGGCCAGCTGAGAAATGGTAGGGTGACATCACGTAGCACCCGTAAGCAGGCTGTGTCTTTTTATAAAAGCCTACTCGCCCTGCGTGTTTACTGGACTGCCAAGATCTGAGCTGATAGGTTGTATGAGATGGGTCAGCATCACCAAGTCATCATATTGGCTAGGCCTATTCTGATGCCCCCAGGTACGGAACTAACTTCGGTGGAGGAGTTATACCATCGGTAAGGTATAATTGTTTTAGTCGTCCCGAGGAGTCGATGAAGCATGGTCTGTGCTAGTGATGGAGACGACTAGAGCAAATCTCGAAAGATCTCGACTAAAGTCCTGCATAGTCAAAGTCGATTAGGTACCCAGGAGGTAGCTAGGGTAGATGGCATGCATGGAAGGTCGTATCGAAAGAGTCTACAGACAATCCCAAAGTTACCCTGGTCCTACAGCCCAAACGCTAACTTAATATAGTAAGATACGGGCCACAACTAATTGATTAGATTTAATTGGTTAAATTCAAGAGTCCCACACTCGACTAATCTAACGATTCAATTCAACTCATTCAATTGTCAAAACATAAGAAATTTATCAACGAAATAATCACGAAACAAGGGGTAATTAGCTAAGGCCGAATGATTGCATGTGTATAGGTATAAATATGTGTGGTGCGAAGTGCGAATAGCTTCACGTATTAAGTTATCTAATCTGCTATCTACCTATCAGCACGTGACCTGGTCTGTGTAATCCGTCGTACTTGGAAAAAAAAATTTTAAAAATAAAAAATAAAAAATAATTTAATTAATTTCGAATTAATCTATAATCGATCCGTCATTGATTAGTAATCAATTAAAAATCAATTATTTTATTTTATTTTGAAAGTTAAGCCTAAAGGGCGCTAGAGCGAATCCGGAAAGTAGGCTTTACCATCCTGGGTTAGCGTTTGGGCTGTAGGACCGGGGCAACTTTGGGATTGTCAGAGTACTCGTATCGAAACAACCAACTGCCACGTTCCGTGTAACAATCATTTGCCTTAAAAAGAGCAGCCATCTCATAGACTCGTAGATTGGGCGCGTGGATGCGAGCCAATTATTAACTCTCGCATCACATAACTTATGTGAGACTGCGAGGCACCGAACCACGCAACGCCTTACATTATCAATCACGTCCTAAATCACATCCACATGGCTTTTCGTCTTATGTCAGTCCGCTAGCCCACGTGTCTTGAATTATTACTTCTTACTTTTTTCGAGAGAGCGGCTCAGTAACATGTTGTGTTGACGCATATTCGGGCAGCTTTTTGATGCCTCATACGATATATTTCCGGGAAGAAAAGAAAAGAGCATTTTCATACCTATATCGTTCAGTTTTCTATGCCCGAAGGCGGGGTACGTTGACTGACGTGAGCTCGACTAGCGCAGGCTTTACGACATCCTTCCATCAATTCCAATCTAGAAGCATTTCTTAACAGGCTTTTGAATCCTAATACAGGGTGAACTACCTAGCGGCTAATATTGAAACCTGCTACTTCCACCAACACTTCCATTAATATGACGTGCTTGTAATGGTCTAAACAATGTTTCGCGATCCTTTGCGGGGCCGAAAGTAGAGTATGCGCTCCCAAACCGTGGGGCCGGAATGGGCTATAGCAAGGGTCCCGCTATGATTCTAACCAAGGAAGGACTAGTCACGATGTCTTCACAATCTATCGCTTACAATGTAGTAAACTATAAAATATCTCTTTTAAATCTTGATGGGCAATATGAAATAGCGTTATATCAAATCATCATATGCGCTCGAGAATACCTTTTGTTTAAAAGTGCTTTTGTTAAGGCGACAAGTTAACATAAGTATCTTGAACCTTCCCCCAACCATAGAGCCTCGGAGGTGATTTTGAAATGTTTCTAATAATAGCCTTTCCGAATAGCGTGTTGACGTACAACCTTAAGAGGTACCTAGGTACGCACGGCTCCCGCCAGCTTTTACACACAGCTCGAAACGCCGGCGAACTCATAAAAGTACCTAATCTAAGGTTAGTGCCTTAAGTATTTGCCACCGCAAAGTAGAATTTGGAGACAATTCTTCGACGATAGGATAAAGTTACATTTTCAGGGAGAGTCAACTGGAAAAAAGCAGGTTTGATACTTCGACGCTATCAGAACATCCAATGACCAGCAATAGAAAGGAGAGCCAGTGAGCTGAACTAAAGATCTACTGGTAACATGACGTTATCGGGATATTATCTATAACCGCGCGGCTGGCAGGTCTTAGCAGACACGAAGCCTTACTCATCCAATATAGTATGTAAGTGAAGTAGAAATTAAAAAAGTTCTAAAAGATTATACGATGATGAGCATATTTATCTGATATACTAAGATTGCAAACGAACAATAGTCCAGAGTGCTTGATGGGGGATTATATACAGATTTACATAGGTGGTTATAGGTTCAAAATTCACCTACATACTAGACCAGTTGACTGTTCCTCTACTTTAGCGAAAAATACGTTCACTTCTTGCAGAAATACGGCATCCTCAATATCCCACCAGTGTGGAATGGGTTATAAAATCCCCTTAATGCTTTATATATAAACCAGACACTAGAGAGCTACTTAACAAACTCATCGTCGTTTGTTAGAAGTAAACGCTTGCAACACAATTATTAAAACCCATTGTTTTCGAAGTCCACCAACTAAAGCTAGAAGATGTTCACCGCTAGATTTCCGTGTACGGGTTGCCATAAGGATGAGATATTAAACCGGATTTATCATAAGCTGACGTGGAAGCGTTACGCAGCTGAAATCCGCCTGAGCTATTGAGTTGAAGCTAGTCAATGCTGCCCGAGCTTTTCTAGAGCACTGGCGAATCTGAAACTAGATAACTTGCAGATTTCAATCAGCCAATCAACCCAAGGATCGCGTACCGTTTGACAATGTGGCGGTTTTTAATCGTTGCTTTGCTTGGAGCAGTGCTTTTAAGTCTGGTTTTAGTTATCTTAGACCGCCATCCGGAGTTGTAGTTGGCCTAAAAAAAACTAGCTCAACTCTTTAAAATCACCAGTGTCGAATACGACGTGGTTGCTATTGATAGGTGTGTTTAATTTATTCTTGAGCCTTTCGTTCCTGTCATATTTCACTCGGTTCCTTCAGGCAAGTTGTCACTATCATGGTTACTTGGTGAGGTAAGGCAAGCCAACCGAAATCGGATTGTTTCTACATCCAACTATATCGAAGAATTGATAGCTCTGTAGCGTTCCGTGGAAAATATCTTAGTTGACTGATTGAGCCTTTTCATGAGTGAGGGGAGTAGCCAGGCGTATATACACGTTTTCGCTAAAGTACCGAGTACTATATCTGGTAACAGTCCCTCCATCACTCATTTCACCAAACGTTAAGAATAAGAGATGTTTATTAGTTTAATACTATAATATAAGAGATGAAATTCAAGTCATAGTAACTTTTGCCTATAATTATCCTACTAGTTCTTTTTTGCCTGAAAGAAAAACAGTTGCACTACGCGTTGTACCCCTCTGATCCGGCATCCGGGTCAGTACTAGAACGACTCGGAATCAGCTACGGAATCGGCCACGGTAATATTGGTCTAAAATCACACCACGATGATCAACATTTAGATACTTTGTTACTTTTAGGAATCACATAGCCTGATAGGAGAATTTCAATTTAATGCCGGGAACTAGAAAATACCTATCTTGCAGCTACACAGTACCTACTCCTTATGATATCTGACTTCGCTTAATACATATTTCGGTGTTTTCTACTTCCAAAACTCCATAAGCAAGACTTTAGAGAGTAGAACTGAGGAAAGCAGATTTATCTTTCCGAAGGAATTATACGTCCAAACTCTGGAAATTGATAAGGTAATTGATAAGGTAAATGATAAGGATTACGTAAAAACGGCCCGCGAGCTTGCGAGCGGCCGTTTTGATAAAATTTTATAGTGATTACTTCGCTAGTAGTATACTAAAAACCATATATCACAAAATTGGCCGGAAAGGAAATCAAACTTCCACTTTCTTGCAGTTTACTATTATAACTCTCTTTAAGAACCTTTCTTCTATTCGACAACCCCTCGCGGTTTCGGTAAGAGTCAGAACATACCTACGAATAGTTGCTAAAGAGGGCAATGATTCCAACTTTGTGGCTCCAGCTCGGCAGCTTCTTATTAAATGGGCCAATGCGTATCGGAGTTAGCAAGCGCCTTTGGATGGTTAATGAGATCGGAAAGCGGATTGACATTCGATCTAACTAGGATCAGCATCTACGACTGCCGAATTAAGGAATAATAATTCCAATGTTTAAATCTCCATCTAACCAACAGCTTCTCTGCAAAAGAACTTGAGCTAATCAAGAAGAGCGTGACCACGCGGATGAACCGCGTTTCACGAGACGCGAGCTTCAATGGATATAGGAGATAGCCATGTCTTTCAGTCACCGTGGGGGGATTTACCATAAATTCAACAATGTTCCCACACAGCTATGCCTTGTTCCAACTTCTCATCATTCTCGACTATTCCTTCTCTAACATCAACTGAGTTTTGTTCTCCTGGGATATCATGGCACATTCGAGCCACGCTTCAGCCTCGGGGTTACCCGACATCAATAGCATCTTGATACCTCTAGCTATCGTTGGCTTTCTACTCCAATGGGGTACAATGCTAATCCAAGGATCTCTCGTTCAGTATATTATAGTATCTTGGCGAGGTTACTTTCCGAGCGGCACTCCCGTGAAAAACGTCTGGACGGGCATCTTCCCTCTCGACCATCCTCTCGTTATTCTCGTAACCTTCTTCCAATCATTGCTGAATCTTGCCGAGAATCCCCACCTTGAGGGGTATCTGCTTCTTGTCGACTTGCTTTTTGCGCTCTCCGTTCCGAGCCTTCTCGCCGTTGCTGAGGATCGACGCAATAGAAAGACCGGACCTCTTAGATAGTAAAGCTCAACTCACATGTTGTCTGTATGTGTGATTACTGACTATGAGATCTAGCTCTGTATTCTGGCAGATGTTATGGGGTTTCTTCGGCGTAGCTTCAGCTGTATCTACCTTCACCCGCTTGTATATCAAACACCGGCTCCCGAACAGCCCCAGTCTACCTGTCGACCAAGCGCAGGCACTTCCTTTCACGGCCATACTGCAAGTTCTTCTCGTTCCTGTCGTTGTAACACCATATGTCCTTGGTGCTTCCCTCACGCAAGTTGCGTACGGCACTGTATCGTATTTTTGAGTCCGCTCGTCGTAGGACCGTTCCAGGATCTCGTCAGCAATCTCATAGCCAGAATTGGTACTATCTTCTTGAGTCCAGTGGTTCTTTCTTACTATATTGTTGGCATTTCTAGCGCCATATTTCACTGGGCCGTTGTTCTGTTCACGCTTCAGTCCCCAGAACTTAGCTTACTTACACTCTACATCCCAAACCCCAGCCTTGTACAACGTGGTAGCCCAACTCAGATCGCTGAATCGGCCCACCACTTCATCCAGTATGGATACCTATTCTTCAATATTTCCGTTATCATTCTTGGAAAGTACGCCTCCACCTTGAACAAGGTAGTCGACGGAAGGACTCCTGGCAACAACCCCTTTTTGACGCTTGTGACTGTCACAGCAATCGGAGGACCCGGGGCTGGGATGGCTTGGATACTAAGCAAGAGGGAGAAGGAGACGGCTGATGCTCGTGCGTACGCCAAGAAGGGCTGAGTAAATGTATCAACCCCTTGTTCTGATTTGTTGCGCGCAAGTGGTTATGGGTTGGTTTAGGATACTATATCAATCAAGTCTCACTCTCTAAAGACAATTAACCTTCTGGGAGGTTCCAAGCACCGTTTTCCAGAGCCGCATTCAGTTACAAATCAATTCCTGCAAGCCAAGTCTACCGGTGAATGCAGTTCCACCCCCACGATGATAATGGCTTTGAAAACGATTGGAGAGTAAATATTTTTACCCCTACCTTGCAAGGAATATTTTCAGCCGCTCATGCTTTTCATGGTTTATCAAAATTCGGACCCCGAAATGCAACCCTATTCGCAAGTTCAGCTGTCCACAACGTGTAAGAGTACAGTACCATGTTAGTATTTTTGCCTATCTGCCTAAGGTACTGACGCGTTTGTCATAGGGTCCGGGAAAAGGGGTGAAGTACTTGAAAAAATGTGTCAAGACTCCCTAGGGGATTTCGCAAGAAACTTGGGCCAGCTCGTCGCGTTAAATGCGAGGTTTAATCAAATTGTCGACCTAAACTCTCGTTACAAAGACTATGTAAGTCTCAATGCTTATATTTACCGGCTATGCAAAGATTCTCATCCAGATATAGCTCTCCACTATCTGGTCCTTGCAAGATAGCAGAAACTCAATCTACCAGAACACGACCATTCAAAAGTTGACATATTTGACTATCGGCTATTTGCCTCTAGGTCTAATAACGGTGATTTCCCTTCAACAATACGTTTACCATTCCAACTTACCACGATCTAGGCTATTTTTGCGATCCCGCCTGATCAAAACGTGCTTATTCTGCAGATGGGGCTACTAGGATTCGTCGTCGCTATTATCGTATCGTTCATCGTGACGTTTACGATTGTGTTCTCATTAGAACGAATCCTAGGTGGTATCGGAAAGTTGACAACAGCACCATCGCCAACCCATGAAGGCAAACATCCTCTGGCTTTACCATGAGGGAAGTCAAACCACTTCATGGTTCATTGGAATAGGCCCCGGGAAAAACCTGAAGACGAAGAGCAGGCATATACGTCTGCCCGGGCATCTGGACTAGACTCAACGGCGAGCACTGTTCAGGGCTCTGGAGCCACTCCTGTTGAAAGATCGAAAAATAAGGAATAACCAGGTACTTGGCTACTAGCTAGGTTAAATTGGGTACCCAGGTAGTTATTAAGTGAGCTAATCTAAACTTATTAAATTGTTTTGATTATTTTAGCTGTCAACTAGAACGAGGCCATTCGGACCCCTATTCGACCCACTTTTATAGCCCCTTTCGCGTCTTGGTCTGATTCTAGCTACCAGGTACCTATCAGATCCTAGTGATAGTCAAAACTATAGGTATCTGTCGAACATACCACTGCACCGCTAAAAGGTAGTTCGACTTATATATACATGCTTGTTAAAATATTTGGTAATGTACCTGGCTTAATGGCGGTTTCGCGAGCTTTCCTTTGTCGCTAAATGTGATAGAAAAAAATGTGCTAGATATAAGAGTCACGATAAATTGATGAACTGTCATAGTATTTGGAGAAATTAAACAGAAGCAGTTGTTGACTACAGTTGTGTGATCTACCCAACTTGTTGAAAATGTTGGCTTTGAGTTCCATTCCGATAGTTGCCAAGACTTGTGCCCCTTTCCCTTTTGTACTACCCTATGTAGGTACCTAACCATACTGGTTATCCAGTTAAGAAGTTAGGATTTCCTTCATCTTGTTTACCGCTTCCTTCTCATGTTCCTCATAATCGATGGCATCGATAAACCCAAACTTAGGAGCAAGTGCTCGTCTGAACTTGTCCGCCTCGGAGTGGCGCTCAAGGGAGATGTCTCCGATTTCTCTGCTGGAATTGACAACCCTTTGCGACCTAGCCCGCCTAACGCTATCAAACGCTTTGAACGCAGCTTCAATTTCGTCAGGCGACGATATATTATGAAATAGTGCCTTCAGAACCATGGTATCTTCGATTGATGTCCCAGCTCCGAACCCATGAAACGAGCTCGTTGCGTGAGCTGCGTCTCCGATGATGCAGACACGCCCATTCGAGTAAGTAGGTGTCTCCCTATGCTCCCACTGCGAATAGCCATATGGCTTTTCGCAGTCTAGTACGAGCTACCAAGTCGTTAACTTTGATTCATGCGAGAGAGTTGCTAACGCTATTATATAACTTACGTCTATCATACCCTTGGCAACAGGGTTATCATTCCAATTACTGAATGTTTCCATCAAGTACTCTCTAGTAATATGGTATCTTCTGTCTTTTGGAGATTCTGCCTCCCCGCTGCATATCATGCACTGCACTAAAGTTCGATCTTCCAGGACGTCGTGTAAAATACACGAGCCATCACCAATCCATACGTATTGGCGATCCAACTTGAAGATTTCCTCACCGAGTAGAGCTTTTGCTTTCTCGTAGGGTTGTATGACTCTGATATCCCAAAAGCCGGATGGCTCAGCTGCGTATTTGTCGGCTACCGTATCTCCTAGGACATACTTTCGAACATTGCCAAATATTCCGTCCGCGCCAATAACTGCGTCGAACTGTCCCTTTGTACCATCTTCGAAGGCAACTTCAACGCCGTGATCGTTAGAGGCAATTGCAATTAGTTTCTTACTGGCGTGGATCCTATCATCGGGTACCTGGGTAATAATTTCACGCAATAGCCGAGCGCGACGGAAACTCACTGGGGGTAACTTAGTAGCCCAGTTGTCGAAAATAACAGTGCCCATATCTGGACCCGAACCCTGAGTGTTTATAACCGTTAACCTTCAAGAACTATCAGTTAGGTACCAATGGTTTTACTCACCAAGATGAATCGAGATGACTCGTTAGGGACAGCACCAGCTCTATGCAAGAGCTCCTGTGCCGAAGGAATGACTCGCTCGAGACTTCTCTGAATGGTACTATTAAAGATGTAGGAACCGCCATGACTTCCTGCAATATCTGCTGCGGCTTCATATACTTGAACATCAAGTTGTGGAATTTTGGTGAGACCTGCGGCTAGAGTCATTCCGGCGAGACCGCCTCCGATTATAGCAACTCGAATAGGAGAGTCCGGCATATTAAATTGTATAAAGAATGATTTCTGGTGATTTGGAGTTTTTAATTTTTCATCTTTACTCCTATAAGTAAGCTGGGGACTAAGTTGTTATATGCCGGTTAGGGGCAAATATTCCCCCATTTAACTATTGCTGTTGGCTCTGTATCCTCGAGAAGGTTACCTCGTGAGTCTCTGTATGCATACGAGCTACATATTGCGGTGCCACTAATTGGATAAACAGAAAATTTAGATACCAACCCTTTGCGCTTATTGGTGACGTTGACATCCTAGATGGGGATAATTTGCTGACCTTGTTACACAACAGGACATGCGCGTGCCTACGTAATTATAGATGGAATTAGGAAAATATGATAGTATGATACTAATGTGATTCATGGATCTAAAGCTTGATCTTCATACATAATTTCCTAAAGTGGCCGTCATCTGGCAACAAGTATCCGGGCAGTCATTATCGCGGAGCAAAGGTATGGTATTCTCGGCTCCGAAAACTTATTACCATAGGTTTTATAAGTAATTCACCTGATTAGGATGAGATGGGTCAGTTGCCACTGTTTTTAATATATGCTTAAGCGTAAGCACTCAGTATATAACGTTATGAATAAATAATGTTATGAGACATTATACCTTTTTGCTTTTTTCCCTTAGAGTATCGTTTTTAAAACTCTTACGTCTCTATATATTTCAGCTGCGATGATGGTCTGCTCCGTGGTTTTTTGTCACGGATGTACCGCCTCTTTGCTATTCAATACCTTGCCTGCTATGATTATGGCGTGGTGGTGTTGTCCCGGGAGGCGAGATAGGAATAGACGCTAAACAGGTACAGGGTTACCAAGTCCTTATAGGGTAATATGTGATGTCGTATAAACATCTTCTAGTGAAGGCTCTCCCCTGATCAAGAACTAAAATATCATCTCATCATCAGTACACGCTCTTTTCTCGCTGTTTTTATGATATCATATATCGTCATTATTATACTCGATTACTTCGTAATAACTTGATCAGTTGAAGTGAAAGTTATACTCCGCAGGAGACCTCAGCTCCTGTTTAATGCTTCCGACGTGTATTCTAGTGATCAATTTAATGCCAATCCTAGTGTAACTCTACAGTTCCCAAGTCCAAAGGCGGAAGGGAGAGAAGATTGCACTAGTCGTTTTCTCTAGATTATTGAACTTTGCCTTTGATAATCTAGAATTACCTATCCTTGGTCCATATCTGTTCACCAGTAGCACGAAGATACACCTTATATTAAGAAGCTGCTTGTCACCTTTAACTATATGGAAAATGAGCATATAGTTGGCTTAGCTTCGTGGCATCTTGAATAATATATAATTCATCACAATATATTGGTATTATGGTCTTGGAGTTCCTGGTAAAGTCTCTGGAGTGACAGATATCGGGGTTTCCTGGGACCCATTCCCTCACTCATCCACTATCATCTACGTTTCCTAAGATATGAAGGATTCAAGTGTCTGAGACCGGCCTGTGGGAGTACATAGAGCAAAGTTACACAGGTGGGATTGAGTTGATAGGTAGTTATCCCCTTTCTAAGACTCTGTGTACCACGGATTCTACGGATCTCTTGGAGACAACCTAACTCGAGGCTCGGGTCGTACAGCGTGGACACTAGAAAGTGTTAGGACAATGGCCGGTCAGGAGCTCCGTATTTCCGTGCCCAAATTTACTATTATAATTCCGTGGGGCCTAGGTCAGCGTAAGCTTACACTCCATCTCTCCACAAAGGGTGGCTCTTTACCTTATGATCAAATGATTAATTGGCTCCCATTACACTTACGAGCGTTGGGGATTCAGTGGGGGTTGGTGATAAATGCACTTTGTGCAGATGTCATACTTGATAATACCCCAATGCCGAGATTGCACCCGGTAAGCTGTGTGGGGGTAGGTAGGTTAGTAAAATCCAGGTTAGATGAATTCTAAGCCTGTGAAAATGTCACTACTCAACATAGCCAACCAATATTTGGAAGAGTCACTAGAAAGTGAGTGATATTGTCAAAAAGCTCGTGGTCTATAGATATGTAAAATCTAAGGTCGTAATGTAAATGAAGATCGCTCGTAGAGAAAGTAAATCTACTTAAAAGCACCGTCTAATAAACCTCGAGCACATAACGCCCATCCTCCTTAAGGCGGTCGATTTCCTTCGTCGAATCTACCTTCTTTCCGCTCATCTTAGCCTCGGCAGCAATAGCCTCCTTAAGTACGTCGGTGACATCGGGAACGGGCCATGTGGGACCACATAGGTAGAAGGAGCCTTCCTGTTCTATGTATGCCTTGATGATGTCGTTAATAGTCTGGCGCATGCGGTCTTGAATGTAGATCTTCTGGGGCTGGTCACGAGAGAAGGCAGCGCCAAGAAGGGTGATAACACCAGCGTCAAGATATGCCTCCCATTCCTCACCATAGAGATACTCCTCGCGCTGATGACGCGAACCAAGATATAGGAGAATTGCGCCGATATCCTTGCCCTGAGCTTTTTGCATTGCGCGATATTGCACGAATGCTCTAAAGGGAGCAAGTCCAGTACCGAGACCGGCCATAATGAGGGGCGCATCGTCACGTACTGGAAGCTTCATAACAGAGGGCTTGACAGATGCAGTAACGGCGGCTCCGACAGGAAGACGACTGAGATAGCGGGTCGCTTGGCCGTAACGTGTCCGGCCTTTAGAGTCAACCCAGTCCACGACTACAATCATGAGGGCGACTGCGTTCGGGGTTACTGCTTGGGCAGAGGCGATCGAGTACTCGCGACGCTTTAAAGGCCCAACTAAACGAACAAGCTCTGGAAAGCTAGGGTGAGCAGATTTGAACTCATCAAGTACGTCGGCAAAAGTGCTGGTGTCGACCTCTGTTCGCCGTTTGAACTCTTCGGCGCCTTCTGGAGTAC